AAAAACTGTTGTTGTTATTAGGTGCTGTTTGTTCAGTCAGGTATGATTCAGTAGCAGCCCTGAACAGTAGACCCTGGACCCTGTCCTATCGTGTTCCATCCTCATCTCTGACACAATTGAGCCTGTTGGTACCTCATCTTGTCAGTCCATCTCGTTTGGGGTCTTCCTTTCTTTCTCTGACCTTCCATCTTTCCAAACATGATGTCCCTTTTCAAGGGATAGCCTTTTCTATTAACACTGCTTAAAGTATGAGAGGAAGTGTCACCATCTTTCTTCCCTGGAGCACTTGGGCGGCAATTTGAAACCTACAGGGTGGGTTCTTTTTAGTGGTATAAAGTTGCTGTGAGTGGGATTTAACTTGACATACTGGCTTTTGGTTTTGTTTGGAAAATAAATGAGTACTTGGAATTTATCCATTTTATCTTGGATAAATAATTCAGTACAATTTATCTAGGTGTGCAGTACCTGTTGTTGAGTGCCATCAAGCCAGTATACTTAGTATTCTTTTATATTTTTTTTTTTTAAATTTCTGTAGGGATGATCATACTGTCCCCACTTTCTTTTCAGCTTTTTGTTATGTGCTTGTTTTTTTCCTTTTCCTTGTCAGTCTGACTAAAGGTTTGTTGATTTTATTGATCTTTTAAAAGAATGGACTTTTGGTTTCATTGATTCTCTTGTTTTTCTGTCCTTTTAAAAAAATTATACCTCTTATAATCTTTATGATTTTCTTTCTTTTTCTAGCTTTGGATTTCAATTTTTTTCCCCTTTGGTTTGTTTTCTTCAGTGAAAAGTCTAATGATGTAGGATCTTTTAAGGCTCACACTGCTATAAATTTTTGGCAAACACTACTGTCTTGGAAATTCTGGCATGCTGTGTTTCATTTTTTTTGGTGCCTGTGTATTATTTCTTTTGCGTGATACCCTTTTTGACTTCATGCTTAATCATGTCTGTCTGATTTCAGGCTTTCCTTGTTTTTGATGTCTTGTTTCAATCCATTTTAGTTGAAGGTACTTGTTATGATCTCAGTCTTTTGAAATTTATTGAGTCTTGGTTTGTGACCTAACTTCTCATCTCCTGGAAAATGACCCAGGTACACTGGAGAAGAATGTGCAGTGAGCTGTTCTTGGAGCAGTCTGTGTGTGTGCATTAGCTTAGTTGGTTCACTGGAGTATTTGATACATGGTAATATACTTTCCTAGTTACTTTTTTAAATTGTAAAGATTTGTTTTATTGTTAAGAGTTCTGGAGGGCTCTGTCATTGTAGAATTTAATTTCTTTTTATAATGATAAGGAAGATAGAGTAGAGGGAGAAATTATTCCTGAATATAAAACAGTAAGGTCAGATTATCCAGAGATTGATTGTTAGATAAAATTAATAACATATTGATCAGAATTTTGGTCCGATTCACAGTTAGTTATTTTAAATTCACTTGTATTATCCGTTTCCAGTGTTGTGGTGTCCATTTCTTTTAAGTCTGCCCTTAGGCTGAAATTCATCTGAAACCATTAGCTCTTTCCTGTCCCCTGTGAGTACTGCTATAAATTTCATCTTCTCGGCTGTAAATGGCCTCGCCTCTGCTGGTTTCAGATTTCACTGTTGTAATTTGGATATGAGCTCAATGCCATTGTGAGACATTGCATATGGGATTTGTGACTACCATTAGGAAAAAAGGACTTTAGGAATTACTTTGTATCTACTGTTATTTAACTAGGTTTAGTTAAGATAAGCTAAAATTTTGGAAAGATTAAAATGAGCATTTTTCCAACTCTTTCTGACCATATGGACTTTTTTCTCCAGGCACTCATGCTGTCAAATGTCTAATTCTTCATTCAGTAATTCATGTCTATGTGTTCATGTGTGTGAATAAATGAAAATTTGATCCTAAGTTTAGACAGGAATAATTTCTGAATGGCACAGTATATGAAAATCTAGAACTGGGATGCTGGTAATGGTTGGATTTGGGGTGTTTGAAGGCTTCAGAATTTCTGGTTTGAGACAAAACCCAGATGGAATAATGTGTGAGAAAATGGAACAATAGATACCTTTAAGTAATGGTATTTATAGTCCATCATCTCTTGCTGAAAGAGAATCTCTGTGAATAGGTAACTACCCCAAAGTTTGAGAACCCCAACAGGTGTCTGTTAGGTGTAAATCCTGAACTCAATATGCTATTAGCAGCATTTGTCAATTGCTTTCAGTCTTGTAGGAGTAAATAGTCTGATGCAAAGTTGCTTTTTATCCTCAGTTATTTTTCTATACATTTGGGAGCTATTGAGCCAGCACAGTTAGTTACTGAAAGTAGCCCATTATCAGATAGATAGAAGTAGCTGCCAGGACTAGTGATACGGTCTCATCTGGGAAAAAGAAAGGGGAGGCAGTTGCCTGATGTATTATTCATCTTGAGTACCAGGCTGTTTTGAAATGTGAAGTATTTTAAAATCATTGAGGTCACAAAACAACAAAATACCCTTTTCAACAGTTTGAAAAATGTTAAAGTTAGGCTTTTTCAAAAGAAGATAAAATAGGTGACGTTTTCTTTTCACTTGTGCGGGTTGGCCCTTGTTCATTACCAATTTTGCATTTATTATTTCAGGCCCTTCTTATGCCCAGGAATATGTTTGTTTATAGATACACATGCACAAATGGATATATAGTCACATATACATACATAATTATTAAAAAGATATACTGATTCCTTTCTTTTCCCAGTGATTGTAACAGTCTGTATTTCCAGTTCTGTAGGGTATCAGTCATCTTGAAATATTTCATGACTATCATACTGTCTGTATACACACATATATATGTAATGAAAATATTTTGCACTTTTTGTGTTAGTGAAGTTTAGCATTTATGAAAAATCCAGTTTATTTCTTTCTTGTCCAGTGATTTGGTGGTTGAATTCCTTTGCTTATTTTAAAATTTATCGTCTTTTTAAAATTGAAGCTTTATGTATATGTGACTAGCCTTTTAACTGTTAAATGAAGAGAACTTTTTTCTTTTTGCTTTTTTTATAGTAGTAGCTGGCATTTTGATTTGTGTCAGAAGTTCTTGAGTCCTTTTTTTTTATTCTTTAATCTTCACTGTTGTCATCTTTATTTTATGGATGAGGTAACTTGATGCAAGGAGATTACATGACTTATTTGAGCACACAAATAAGTGTGCAATAGTCAGCAGTCACCATTTGAATCTTGATACGATTATTTCAAGTGTTAAGACTTTGCTTTTTACTGTATAATTTTTTCCTTCAACTTTTTTTTTAATGCTGTGAAAAATTTGTATTTAGAATTAGCCACCTGGATTCAGTTTAGAGGATCTGAGTTTTGTTGGCAACATCCAAAGCATCGTAGTCAGGAGCAAGTTGAACATGGGTCTTCTCTCTATTAGGTCTGTTGTTGTTGACCTTGGCCATAGCAGTGTCTTAGAGAGCTTTATAGCTTGTTGGCCTTGACATTCATGATGAACACAAGTGTGTTGTTATCTTCTATGTTCTTCATGGCTGAATCAGTGGTCAGCTTGATGATGGCATAGTGGTCAAGCTTGTTTACTCTGGGGCGCTCTTCAGGGGATATTTGGGCTGCCTTGGAGTCTTAGCATCTTAGGCCACTGGAAGGTGGGTGATGTGCGAGTGCTCTTTTTTTTGTGGCTGTAGATACCTTCAGGACTGCCTTCTTGGGCTTTAATACCTTTGCTTTGACTACAGTGTTAGGAGAGGCAGGAGCTTCTTCTTTCATTTTCAGTGCCATCTTCATAAGAACAGCCAATATACTACTTTTGATCATATTCCTTCGTCTGTATTGTTTTCCTATTTATTCTCCAGGTGCATAAATTGTATGTAATCATTGACAGAAAGTCTTTTTTAAAAAACTTAATATGCTGACTCTTGTGAATTTTCTCTGTGTTTTAGAAACTTTACTTTGCTTCATTAAAACATTGAAAGCACACAAGATAATATTTAAATATATTCTTGTTTAATTGTTGTATAATACAGGTGGGGAAAAGTGGCTAAAATGTAAAAGCTCTCATTCACCTCCTAGCTCTTTTCCCACTGACTTCAGATTGCTTTCCCCTATCAAGAGACCCTCATGATAAGAAAACTATAATCTTTGATTTTAATGTGTGGTCCATTTGGTGATAATTTGCTACTTTGTATGTTTGTTGAATTAGAGATCCTCTTTGATTTTGTTTTGTTTTCCATATTCAAACTCATTACCATCAATTTGGAATTGATTCACACACAGCTGGACCCGTGTTCTAACTGTAAATGAAGGTTTCTCAGCTTTCTACAGTGGAGCTGTTTTCAGGTTGGCAGTACAGCTCCCTACTGATTAGGCCACCAGAGCTTGCAAGATTTTGCTAAAATAATAAATAATTTTACCTGACCTCAGTTATGCCGTCAGGAGGCTGTGTAGTCATTTTGGAAGTAAAGTTTGTAGCTTGTTGATTTAGTAAATATTAAAAGTAAAGCAGAAATCAAAATAGACCCCAAAAGCACTCTGTTTTTATAAATATGTTGTTAAGACCTTTCGTCATTATTCTCCATTTCTGTAGGAACATCTGTGTCCATGGTTTTTAACAAATGAATATCTCATGAGGTGTTGAAAATACGCAGAATAGGCATAATTTCCATAGATCAGGAAATGCTTTGAAAAATACCATGTTTTGATATTGTTGTGTCCGAACCTTCAAAACTAGATAGATTATAACACTTCTTGAGAGAGAAGCTAGTTTTAGAGATGATCTTCAACTCCAAATAGGTAAGAGCAGTGCTCAATATTTTTGAGAGTATCCATACTTGGAAAATGACTTAAAATGCATAATTTGTTTAGCTAAATTAAGAAGAATAACAATTTTAAAAATCTCTAATTTTGAGAAAGTGCTTCTGAAAAAGTTGTCCTGGAGAACCATTTGCAGTATTTTATTTTTGTATTTTGCATTTTTTATCCCCTCCTCCCCTGCTCTTGTTAATTGCAACTGATATGGCAATCTTTTCTTTTTCCAGATCATTCAACCTCAAGTGGCACATTATCATTTAAACCAAGTCGGTCATTGGTTACCCTTCCTACTGCTCATGTGATGCCGTCTAACGGCAGCTCTTCACTCTCCCGACACAGGGAATCACTGACATCAGATGGGTCAAAATGGAGCACAGCCCTCTTGCAGACACTGGGAAATCGCAGTAGAGAGGAGCAGGACTCGTCACTAGATATGAAAGACTTCCGGCCCCTCCGGAAATGGTCATCTCTCTCCAGACTGACTACCCCCAGTAACTGCAACCAGGATGGCATGGTGCACCCAGAAGAGCCTCGGAATGGTTTGGAAAAGACCGGGAGGAGCAAGGCATTAATATCACAACTGAAGACAATTGGACCTAGCTGCTTACATGACAGTATGGAGATGCTTAAACTAGAGGACAAGGAATTAAATAAAAAACGATCATCAACTCTGGATTGTAAATATAAATTTGAGAGCTGTAGCAAAGAAGACTGTAGAACCTTTCCCTCCACACTTAGGAGACAGACCTTAGACATGACATACAGTGCCTTACCTGAAAGCAAGCCCATTATGGCAAGCACAGAGGCTTTTGAACCACCGAAATATTTAATACTTGGTCAACAGGCAGTAGGTGGGGTTCCCATTCAGCCTTCTGTGAGGACTCAAATGTGGCTTACTGAGCAGTTACGGACAAATCCTTTGGAATGTAGAGCAACAGAGGACTCTTACAGTTTAGCTCCTTGGCAACAACAGCAAATTGAAGAATTTAGACCAGGAAGTGAGACACCAATGCAGGTAAGGCTCACATTCAAGTGTTTGCTTCCCTCTAGTGGTTATTTTGAGCATAGCACTGTGAAGTAACCACTTGAAATAAGCCTATTACACGTTTTGTATCTTTTAGAAATTAATGAATATAGATGGGAAATTCTGTGGTTAGAGACCTCTCTAAAGTACTCAAGAGCAATGGTGTCTCTTTGGAGAGTAAGGTCCGCCTGATAACAGGCCATGGTTTTTGCAATCACTTGTTATGCATCAGAGAGTTGGACAATGACTAGGGAGGATAGAAGGAGAATTGACGCCTTTGAGCTGTGGTGCTGGAGAAGAGTATTGAATGTACCATGGACTGCCAAGAAAACAAACAGATTCATCATAGAGAGGATTAAACCAGGCTGCTCCTTGGAGGCAAGAATTCTGGGGCTTTGTCTGACATACTTTGGACATGTTCTAAGGAGAGACAGGTCCTTGGAGAGGGACGTAATGCTTGGTAGGGTGGAGAGACAGCGCAGGAGGGGAAGACCCTCTATCAGTGACTGGAATAATCAGGATGGGTGTGTCAGAGGCAGTGTGATTGGCACAAAATAGATCAGGGTTTAGGGTTGTTGCTATGAGTCACAAATGACTCGACGGCACATAACAACAACAACAACAACAGATGTTATAAGCATATTGAGTTAATAAGTAACAGTTAAGAAATTTGAAACTGATTAACATGAAAAACTTTAAATCTTGGTACCCGTCTCAGTCTAACTTCTAATTTGTTTAATGGACTTAAAAACAAAGCCATTCATGCTAAAGAAACTTGAAACAAAGCTATCATAGTGTGATAGAAATAATATTAACTTGGAAGTGTATATTTATCATTTCTAGTTCTGTGTGACCCAGAACCTATTGCTTAATTTCTCTGGCCTCAATTGTCTCATCTATAAAATGAGATGGTAAAAAAGTCATTAGTAAAGTTTTTTTATTAATTTCTATGTATCAGAATGAAAGAATTATTTATTAAAAAATTAAATTGGGTCAAGATTAAAGGAGTTGTATCATATATAAAGAAATAGATATCAGATAAAGAAAAATATGTATCAGGTAAAGGAAAATGTGTAGCTTCTGATATATCTAGGTCCTAAAATGGAAATGGGTAAACTTCTTGATCTAGAAATGTTTTGTTTTGTTTTTTCCCCAGGATAATTCTTTACAGGATATTTTAATTGGGAAGCCAAGTATCTTTAGAATTTTTGAGAAATCTTACCACTTACCAATGGCATTTTCTGAAACAAAAACTTTAAAAAATTTATTTCCTTTCAATCTAAAAGGGAAAAGTCTAATATAATTCATCTTGTCTCTTAAAAGAATGTGTATGATGTTCAAATACAGCTAGTAAACTCTCGCCACAAAGAGGGACTCTTACAATCCTGAAAGGAATTATAAAAGTCTACATGTAACACTAGAGTCCCCCAGAACTTTGTAACTCTTACTGTATCTCATTTGATCTGCACAACTCCTTCCTTCTTTTTCTCCTATGAGAGATTATTATTCTAGCTTAGTTATTTTGCTGTTTTCACAAATTAACCCACAGTTATTATTAAACAAGCTTTAGTGATTGATTTCCATGGTTTCCAGCAAAATGAGCAAGCCTGCTAGTACTCCAGAGCATCTGGATGAACAAGCCACCCGTGCCTTTACTTCATCCAGTTTTTATAGGCTTGCATGTTCAACATCCTCTTCTGACCTGGTTCCTTGCTCTGCTCTACCTCCCACCTGTGACATGCTGTCTGACTGTACCAGGACTCTGACCAGAGAGAAAACCAACTGCACACTCTCCCCATTCGCCCACCTCAGGCCAGGATGAGAATATGTAAGAGCATGTTGTCCACTTCTCTTGGTGCATTTTCTTTTCTTTTTCATTTTATTTTTTTCTTTCTTTTCTTTTTCTGAATTTCACCGTGTTTGGAATGAGGGTGTGCACTTACACACACAGCAGTATCACTGGATTCCTCTAAGGCTACACTCATCTCTGTGAGGAGTAAACAGTTGTTTATCTCCTTTTCTCATCCCTACGATGTTTTGATGATTTGACTTGAAATCATTATAAAAAAAAAGATTATATAACCTTATGTCTTTGAGTTATGGAGGGGTGAAAGGGCTTGACAGCTAGTAATTGTAACATATTGTGAATTTATTGGGAATTTTCTCTCATATAAAAAACATAAACCATGCAAGTTCTACAAAAGTAACTTAAACAACTACGTTTTTATCTAATTTGGAATAAGAATGAAAAATTGCTAACTGGGTTGTTAATTTCTGTATTTTATCTTCCAAAAAAAAAAAGTGTTTCCTTTGTTTATTTTTATAAATTGTCCTAATCTTCCAACAGAATCTGTAAATATGTGGGCATTATGACACTCAGTCATTAGGATATTAAGATCCATTAAGGTAACTGAGAAGCATATATTGATTTTTGTCAGTGTTTTTGAATAAATGTTCCTTTTTTAACATTATTATAGATTTTGTTAGTACTGCCATGTTAATTTATAGACATTTTAGTGTGTTGTTACTTAATAAAAACACATCTTTTAAATATTTATCATTCTCTTGCTTTGCCAGAAAACTAAAAAATAATCAAGGATTAGTAAATCTGTAGTTAGTAAGAAAGGCATTATTTTGTGTAGGTCTGCCCTCTTGTGTCTGTATGAGGAAAATTGTTTTGTGTTTTGGTGTTTTGTTTTTTTTTTTTAAATTTGAGAATAACCCATAACTCCTAAATACTCTGTAATTGGATACATTACACAGACATACCGCGTTTTATCATGCTTCAGTTTATTGCATTTCACAGACACACTCCACACCACCCCCTCACCTTGTGGCATCCCTGTGTTAAGCAAATCTCAATGTCATTTTTCCCAGCACCATGTACTCATATCTTCTCTTTCTGGTTATTTTGACAATATTTCAAACTATCATAAACCTGTTACACATTTAAAGTTTAGTGCACTGGGAAATAAAAAAAAATTAGTATGACTTGCTTTATTAAATACTTATTTCAGCATGTAAGGTAGTCTGGAACTGAACTCCCAATCTTTCCATGATCGGTTGTAGTCTTAGTAATGATACGCATGTATCAAAGAACAATTTTGTTATGTTCTGAAATATTTTAAAAATTATTTATTCTTAAAACTAAATTAAGAATTCTAAAGTAGAAATTATTTGAATTCTTGATATTTAAAGTCCAAGTGCATTTTTATTACATTCTTTTGTTTATAAACCATATATAATAAGCAAGATTAATACATTTCATTTAAGGAATGAACTTTTATTTTACACTGTAATCTTAGTAATAGTATTTTGTAATCCTTGAGGTATAAGCTTTCAATTTTGGTAAGGTTTAATTTAATTCAATTTTTTCATCTTCAGAATATAGAGATTTAATGAACAAAATTTACTTCATCATATGGAGGAAAACTTCATTTCACATTTGTAATTTGAAGTTGTTATAATGCACAGTGTAATAAAAAGGAATCTCACTTATTTCAGCTAGCTCTATTATCTTAAGATCAGTCCAACTATATAATAGAACACAAATTTTTTTCACGGGTAATTAACTGTGACTAGTGAGGTGAATGACCTGTTAAAACTTTCTGGTTTGTATGAAAGGTACTTCAGCCGGAAGGTGAAGCTTTGTTGAAACAAAACCAAAACAACAAAATCTTTTCCCTTTTTTCTCATAAAATTGAGCCCCCTTGGGGAATTTAAAGGCAATATCTCTCCTTCATTTATACTTGTGTTAGAAACTGAGATCAATATTGAATTTCAGATTATTTTACTAGTCATCTTTTAGAAAAATCTCATGGTAAATTATATAATCTGTATTCCTTTAATAGAATTGCTCTATCAGGGATATGTCTTGAACTGAGGGTAAAGGTCAATGGATTATATACTCTAGGGATTAACATTTCTGTCTTAATTTTAAACTACCTAAACCATTAAATTTTGGTGCATATACTTTCAAGACCTGTTTTTATTTAACACTAAATTTTACTTAATACAAGTTGTTGGAGGATCTTCTAAAATAATGAGAGGAGAAATGGAAAGAAAAAAAAAAGAAAAAGCTAGAACTCAGGAATAGTTGCAGATTAGCAGGTTTGAATCTCTAGTTTATTCAGGTAGCCTCCAAAATAGTAGATATTTACCATCTGATTGATGTTATTAGGTGCCACCAAGTCGAGAACGACTCATAGCAACCCTCTGAACAAAAGATTTGGACCTAGTTCTCTCCTGTGCCATTCTCACACTTCCTGAAACATAAGAGCATGTTGCAGCAGGCACCCTATCACTCAGTCTGGTTGAGGGTCTCCTTTCCTTAGTTGATAGGTTAGGAAGACATTTCCTTTTAGAAACAATAGAAGGGGGGAAAAATCAAAAGTATAAGGAGAGAAAATTTTTTAAATACCATAAGTGATTATTTTTTGTCATTATCTTTTATTCTCTTGCTTTTCTTTATTATGTATAAGGTTGTAATAGAAGACCATCTAGAAAATTATTTTCATGATTCCAAGATACAGTAAAGCAAGTTAATGTAGTGCAGCTCAGATAATAAACTGTTGTTATGTGCCATCCAGTCACTTGGATAATAAACTATAGTGCCTTAAATTAAACATAGAGTGTATTTGTTGTTGTTAGTAATTGCTGATTAAGTTAACCACAAGTTCTTAATTGTTGACCATAATGTCTTATATTTATCTATGTTGTTGTTTACCGTTGAGTCAAGCAGACCCTCCAGTGGGTTTCCAGAGGCAGTTAATCCCACGGGAGGAGATTGCCCATCCTTCTTCTGTGGAGCATCGGGTGGTGGCCTCAAACCATGTGCCTTTGAGATTGCAGTGCAGCATCTTGTCACTAGGCCACTACAATTCTGTAATTTCTTGGAAAACTATTCAAGAGGAATTATATTTATGTATGGTTATAATCTTATTTTTACTTGATTGTTAAAACATCTTAAACTGTTAATGGTAGTATAGAAA